ATGTTTATTAATAGTTTAATAAAGAAATTAACGGATAAAATTTTAAAGTTTGATACAAGTGTACTTTGAGACTGACATTATGGGTAAATTGAGAGTCAAGTCGACCCTATGACTGACTGAAAGCTTTTTATCCATAGAAAAACTGACCCCCCCCCAAAAAAAACCCCCCCACTAGCTGTTAATGTTTTACTCATGGTTTTCATCAGGTTAGATGCTTAAGATAAATGCTGCATAGTAATTAATGGTTTCCCTTCTCTGGTGGTTTCTGAAGATTTTAAACTTCCAGCTGATGGGAAAAACTTTTTTACAACTACCTGCAAGCTTTACAAAATACACTGTTCTGTTTGCATATTGCGTATTTTTAGATAATTGTCGTCAGACTCACTTTGTAATTTAGTTTCTAACAGTTTTGGCTCAAGATAAACTCTCAGTGCACTGCAAGATTTCTGAAAGAAGCAATGTGCTTAATGTAATTTGTTTAAAGCAACTAGTTAACCAAGCAATACTGAACTGCTATGTTTTCTTGTGGTACAACTGAACAGTGGTGACTGAGTTAAAAACACCTCTGAAAAATTATTTTCTTAACTGGTTTATTATTTTGAAATGGTTCCTTTTACTTTGTTAATCAATACTGTTAATTTCTCTTGTTTACAATCTGAAGGTATCTAAATAACTAGGAATTTCTATTCATTGTTAGAAAAGATTTGTTTTAAAAGCCTAGAAACTATTGCTTTATATGTCAGCAATACATGGAAGTTTCAGATTTTAGAATTGGGAAATTAATGAAATGGTTGTAAACCAGTGTCCTAAATAACAAATAGTGCCCCCACATCAACCAAACTCTAGTATGCATTTACATGATGATAGGTGCATGCGGTTGTAAATACATCTTGAACAAATCTGCTATGTTATAGGTATAAGTTTTTAAAAATAAACTTTAATACATAAAAATGGCAAGTGTGCATTTTGTAAAATAGTATGAAGTTTGGCAAAATATACTTGCTGAATATGCAAAGGCAAGCATTGTATGTTGTGTTGGATTTAACCTTCAAACATGTTTTTTGTTCTGTAAAAGTAATCTGTATTCACATGATGAATGGAGTTTACTTTGCTGTTAATCTGGCGACAAATACATGCTGTTGATATGTAAAACAATACATAGTACAAATCTGTTAAACTTTAGTCCTGCACTGGACAAGTGACTTTTGGAGAAATGCTGAGTATCCTTAATGATCAGTTAGCATCTTGAAGAAATTGAGTTTTCAGGGAAGGAGAAGTTTAAATGTTTGGAGTATTATTACTTTTTTGAAAGCAAGTACTAAAAATATTTAAGGACAATTGGACTTGCTTCTTCCAATTGAACAAGTGCATTTAAATCACCAAAGGAGCCATTGAATTACCTTGATAATTAGCATGGTTTCTTTTGTTAATGTACCATCCTCTTGAGTATAATTTACATCTTCCACAGTCAAGAATACTAAATCACTTCAAAGATACAGTAATCACTATCGTGTGCATGTTTCTACCTGCCTGTTAATATATAGCATATATGTATAAAACAAATTATTCTTACTTTATCTAGAGCATTACAACATTGTTGGGTCCTTTCCCACAGTTTTAAATGCAGTTATGACTCTGTCCAGCACCCACTTGGAAACTGTGTGTAATTCATAGTTTTCCTCTTTTCTCAGTGTTAATGTCTCATCGTTTGACTTGCAAAGAACTCTTGCATAAATAAATAACATAAAAACAGTGTGGTAGTTCTTTGCTATAGCTGATTAACTCTAGTTTTATAGATTAATTAACACATAACCATGCGTTAGGTAAAAAAAAGATAATGTGCTGCAGATCTCTTAGAGTGAACCAACTTTTCTTTGAACTAAAATGCCTATTGGTTGCTAAAAGAAACTTCATCCCACAACCTCCCTCTTACCTTCAGTGAAAGAACTGCAGAGTTCCTGAGTTAGCTATTGCTCCATAGTGTTGGTGTTTTGATTCTCTCAGGCACCAGGGATGTGAGCATTCCAGCAGTTACACCAAACAATGAGAGAGAGACTCTCTGCATGCCCCAAGCCTATGGAGCATTACGTCATGGCAATACCATATAAGGAACTCAGTGTTGTGCAGACTCGTCGTGCTTGTAGTGTACTTCAGTGATAGCCAGAACTCAAAAAGAAAGGGAAAAAAACTTATTAATGTGCTCTGGCTCCAGCTGACACTATGGACTCTGTGAAACATTTCATTTGTCTGATCAGTTTATGGTCAAAATGAATGTGCGGAAGAGTTAGGTTAAAGCATTTCCTTCTTATTACTGATAATCGAGTTATTAGCCAGCTGCAATCTAATATTTCATCTTGGTTTTCCGTAACACAATTGTTCTGAGGAACTGGATTTTAGTTTTTTCTTCTTTTTCAGATTACAAAAGATAGAAGCATAGCTGGACTATGCAGGAACACCAGGCCGGCCTGTCTTTCTTTCTTTCTTTCTTTCTTTCTTTCTTTCTTTCTTTCTTTCTTTCTGTGTTTTATTTCATGATGATGTAACTAGAAAACAATTCCTCAACTGGTGATGGGAAGGCCAGATGAGAAACTAGGGTGTGTTGTGTGTGTGCTAACTAGTTTCCCTTTAAACCCTTTTTTGCTGTCCTTTCAGATAATGTTATTAGACTTCTTCAATGGTTATGTTTTAGTAATATTAAAGGTTTTAAAGAGTTTTTACATTAATCATCAGAAAATAAATGTTGGAAATCTGCATATAAAAGATTAATCTTATAATTTGAAGGGATGCATCCTAGTTTATTTATGGTTTTGTGGTATGTCAAAGACTTTGCAGGAGTTGTATCGCAGGGAATTAATATAATGGGAATTATCTTCATTAACCCATGCATGTTAATGAAAAGGCCTGTAATGGTATCAGAGGCTTTTAAAAATAATATTGTTGTGCTGTGCTGAATGGATTAGAGACACATCTATCTTTATTCATGAATTGCTTGAAGTTTGGGGCTTTCCAATAAAACTATGTTCATTTTTATTAGGAAGTAAGTTGCTTTAAGGTGATTGGAATTTACTTTATATTTGATATTCAGATAAATAGAATAACACAAGCAGGTGGGGATCGAAGTCAGATGTTCTAAAATATGGTCAGTGGTGCTATGAAAATTTGAAATGATGCAACTTGCTCCAAATTATCTTGAGGAGTGTGCACAACCAATGTTACTTAATTATTATTAATTTATTAGATTTATATCCTGCCCTTTTCTGTTAAAGAACTCAAGGTTACTCACATCATTCTCCTCCTCCTCCTGCTCTTAGTCTTATCCCCACAACAACAATCCTGTGAAGTGGGTTGGGCTGAGAGACTGTGGCTGGCCTAAAGTCACCCAGTTGGCTCCATGACTGAGTGAGCATCAGAGCCCAGATTGCCCGAGTCCCAGTCCCACACACTTTACCACTACACCACACTAGCTCTTTTTTGACAAGAGTGATACTTCAAAAATGCCTCTGCCATATCACAGTAAATGGAATTATACCCTGTCAGATTATTATTGTTTACCCTAAGCAGCAATAACTCTCTCATAAGTAGATACTCTTCAGTGTCTCAGGCAGATAGCTTTCTTTCCCATTGTCTTATCCATTTAGCAAGATTGACAATAGTTGTATACTGTGTACATGTGCATTACAAGTGAACAGTGGTCACCATAGGCAATGATATAAATTTGTAGGTATTGCTTGCAAAAAAAAACTTTTAGATTTTTCTGAATACACTTTGCTTCTAGAATGGTCACTCAGATCTTTCTTTGTTTTATAATAATCAGGAAACAGTTATTTAAATGACAGGCTTTTCCCAGAAACTGGTGTTTTTAATTTGAGGTCATACGCCACTGGAATTGCACACTGGTGCTCTATGTTTCTATGTTCAACAGTATGGTGACTGTTGTGGTAAAGATCCATCCACATTTGAGCCAATGTGGTGTGGTGGTTTGAGTGTTGGATCTGGGTTCTAGTTTCCACCTCAGCCATGAAGCCCCCCTGGAGACTTTGGGCCACTTGTAGACTCTCTGTCAAACCTACTTTACAATGTTGTTGTTGTGAAGATAAGATTGAGAGGGTGGGGGGGGGACTGTAAGCTGCTTTGAATTCCTTGAAAGGAAAAATATAGTGGACTAACTGACTGACTAGATAGCTAAACAAAATTGGAAACCCCATATCCAATTGTGTTTCTATATATACCAGGGGGTGGCCAAACCAGGCCCAGGAGCTGCATGGAACTCTTTGAGTTTATTTTGTGGTTTGCTGGCCAAGGCACCTGTGAGCTCCCACTTGCGACTCTCAAACATCTGACATTTACTGTATGTGACTCTTCCATTGAGTCTGTCCACCCCAATATATACAGTTAATACGTATATGTTTGCATACTTTTATAGAAATTAATTTACTATGGACTTTTATTAAAAGCTAGGTAATTTGGGTTCCTGGCAGTTTAATTATGAAGGGATGACTACAGTTGTAGGAGGTTGTCACTAATCGTGAAGTCGTGTCCAACCCATCGGGACCCCATGGACAACATTCCTCCAGGCCTTCCTGTCCTCCACCATCCCCCGGAGTCCACTTAAGCTTGCACTGACTGCTTCAGTGACTCCATCTAGCCACCTCATTCTCTGCCGTCCCCTTCTTCTTTTGCCGTCAATTGTTCCCAGCATTAGGTTCTTCTCCAGGGAGTCCTTCCTTCTCATTAAGTGGCCAAAGTATTTGAGTTTCATCTTCAGTATCTGGCCTTCTAAGGAGCAGTCAGGGTTGATCTCCTCTAGGACTGACCGGTTTGATCACCTTGCAGTCTAAGGGACTCGCAGGAGTCTTCTCCAGCACCACAATTCAAAGGCCTCAGTTCTTCGGTGCTAAGCCTTCCTTATGGTCCAATTTTCACAGCCATACATTGCAACTGGGAAAACCATAGCCATGACTATACACACTTTTGTCGGCAGGGTAATAGCTCTGCTTTTTAGTATGCTCTCTATATTTGCCGTAGCTTTCCTCCCAATGAGCAAGTGCCTTTTAATTTCTTGGCTGCAGTCTTCGTCTGCGGTGATCTTGGAGCCCAGGAAAATAGGAGGTAGATCTTTATAAATAGTGAAGAAGAAAGTAAGTTCCCTTTCTTCAGAAGGGAAGAGTACATGGAGCTGGCCATTGAAGTGTTGGCAGATAGGATCTGGGTTCCTTTTAATCATAGAGGAAGGGAATTGACTACTGAAATTGCTATGCACCAGAATAGCATTATGACTAACCCCCTCCCAGGACACCTACAGTGGGCATTGAATACTCAGTTACTTGATGTATATTTGGAATACTTATGTGATAAATGAAATCAAGGCCCTAGCCCATTTTAGGATTTATTGCTCATGATTTTAAATATCATGGTGCATACTGGCAACACTTTTCTGTATATCACAAAATGATATGTTGATGAATATTGATTTTTTTCACTTACATTTAAATGCTGCCATCTCAGATACTGCTGTCTGCAGCTAGTTAACACTAGGTGGTTCTTCACTATCTCCTAAGTTGTATGTAATGAGAACTGAAACTATGGATTAGGTATGAGTTGTTGTTGAACATTGAATTGTTGGTTTTGAATAGTGAGATGTTATGTGCAAGTTATGTGGTTTAACTGTGAGTAATTAACCACAAACAAGCCTGGAAGGGAAGCCATGGTTTGCTATTGGGTTTGAACTCAGGGTTGCTTGTGGCTAAAATCCTATAGTTTAGCCATAGCACAGATTTACATATGATGACTCAAGATTCAACAACAATCCTCAGTTCAGTAATTACAGTTCAGCCTATATGAGGTATTTTCATTAAGCATGAACTAAGTCAATCCTTTTTTCCTCACAAAGATTTTATAATTACTTGCCTAATGAATTTTAAGCATGGAGTCACAAGCTGTCTCTGCTGCTCCCTTCTGAACAGAATATTGTTATTAATTACATAGACAAAAGGCTTCCGACTTTGTGGTTTATGATAAGAAATTTATTTAAAACTCTCTTCTCCTATAAACAAAAAGGAAGTAGCGCTTCCTTCAGGGTGGTTCATACTGCTTCAGGACCAGTCATTGGGAATATCTGACATTACTCATTTGTCTGCCTGTTTGATATGGCACCTTGTAATTGGACTAATAATATGAAGTATGACTCCATCTAACTCTACCTGTTTCCACAGAACCAGATATGGTCTACATCTCATTGGACTCTTGGCTTATCTTTCAGCCAGCTGGCCTTGGCATTTTAACTAAGAATTTCCATCCTGCCTCTTCTTCTGGTGCTGATTCAGACTCTGAAGCAACAACCCTGGAAGGTTGTGCTCTAGGAAAAGTGGGCCTAGCCCCTGCAAGTGTTTTATTTCTGTTTTTACAAACCTTATAACAACAACAAATGGATAGGATTTCACTGTGATATTTTAAATTAGGACTATTTTCTATCTCTAGTTTACCTAGTTTGTTTACAACCAGTGCCATTTAGGAATGCAGCCCTCAGTTAAACTTTGGACATTTGCGGGATGGGTGAGAGTGCTTGTACATCTGAAGATATGGCATTTCCTAATGCAGGTTGAAACCATAGGGCTCCTGTGTATTTATATATAACTGGATCAAGGAATCAGGTTTACAAACATGTTGTGGACATGGAGTTGCTGTCTCCGATCTTGTTGCCGCCTGGAAAGGTTAATAACCAAGCAATATTTGTCACAAATATTCTATGGAACGGCATTCTATGATAATGGTGGGGCTAGTACTTTTATCCTACCTGGTCCTTTCTTGCCTTGTACAGCTGGTTGTAATTACTGCTTTTTAAGAGGACAGCTCAGCTTTAATGAATGCACAATTTTATTGAGGCAAGGATGTCCAAAGTATAACTTCTCAGCATTTGTTGTCAGACTTGTTTCCCAATAAATGATGCCAGAATGTTTATTTTTACTAATGTTGCAAAGTCTATGGTTGACCTGTTACAACTAGCTTTCATAGTCAGACTTACCTTTTATTCATTTAAGCTGTCTAATGCTTTTTCAAATTACTGTTCATGTCTATGACAGTCTTCCTCAACTTGGTGCTCTCCAGGGCAGTTATGAGTTACAGGATATCCAACCAATAATTTCAGAACAGCAACCAACATGGATGTGTTTTATTGTGCTTTAATTTTTTGTGGTGATACGAGAATATATCAAAATACTTTTGCCTATTTATAAAGAATACTTGTCTCCTAGTTAATTTTCTGCATTGAAAGAGTCAGGTGACTTGAGACTGCAAGGTGCTCTGTATTTTAGAGTTTTTTTTAATGGAGATGGTTTGCATAACTTTAATGAGCACTGAGGGCTATGTAACACCTTGTGACCATCGCAGAATTAACTGAAACATATGTGGCTTTATGTTGTTCCTTTCCTTTTCTGTTTCACTAGGGTAACTTGAATGTTAATATTCACTTATATTTCCTATTTTAGGAGCAGAGTGAAAGAAAGCTCTTTTTCCCCCTGTTAGTCTGGTTTTAATGTGATGTATGAAGTTGTCTAATACTATGTTGGACTATTGGTTTTTCAAGCTTAGTATTGTCTATTGTAGGCTTCTGCAACCTGGTGCCCTCCAGATGTTTTGGATTGTAACTTCTAGTATTCCTGACCTTGGCCATGCTTGCTGGGGCTGATGGAACGTGATGTCAAGTTTTCTGGATTGCATCAGGATGAAGAATGCTGGTGTACAGTGACAGGCAGAAAGCCTCCAGGCTATTCGGCAGAATTTTTTTCTGCTAGCCACAATTGCTTGAAACAACAGCAACCATGGCACCATCTATGGAAATATCAGAAACTAAACTCGGGCACTTCTGAATGCAATATAGATGCTTTTCCACTGGCCAGTGCCCCTTCTTGAAGAGAAGTTTAGGTGGGTAACATTATTTCCTTGATATAGTATGGGAGCTGTTAGTAAGAAGAAAGAATGAACTGGGAAAACAGTAGGTTCTAACAAATATGTTTTTCTATAAGAGGGGAGGGAATGATTTAGCTGCTGACTCCATCTAAACAATTCCTGTCTCCTTAGCAACTAATCATAGTTTTTAAAATTTGTTGTACTTGTAAATATTATGGCAGGATAGAATACCACAGAATCAGAGAAACTAGAGCTAAAGCCTGATTAGGTCATTGAGACCCTGGCGTGCCAACACAAAGTTGCTCCTTCTTGACTGTTTAACCCAGTTTGTTTTGTCTACTCAGTGCTTTCAAATAATTTGAGCTTGAACTTTTTATTTTGTGTGTTAAATCAGCTCTTTAGAGCTCAGCTTTAATATTTCTCTGTTCATATAATGAAGTAAATGCATTGAATTAAGGAGCACACCAATTTTGTAGTATATTGTAATGTTAGCCTACGTTTTCTTGATGAACCCTGAAAAAATGGAAGCAGATGATCCTCTCATCATGGGGGAAGGTATTTAATCTGTTTTGAATGGGCTTGAGCTTCCTGTGAAAAACCAGACTTTTCCTTTGGGGGTTCTTCATGCATGCATGTCCTCAGTGACATGGGGAATTTTTTCCAGCTTAGGCTAGTATGCCAACTGTGACCTCAGCTGTGAGAAGGAATAATCTGTGAATCCATGCTCTGGATATATTTCATTTGGGCTACCATATACTGGTTTTTGCCCTTCTTGGACATATACTTTAATGTTGTGAGAGGGGTTGAGAGTGTCAAAGAAGTCAACACCAAAGCTGGCAGGAGGCCAGATTCTTTAATTAGTCTGGTTTCCTGCAAGGGTCACTCAGAGAGGAACTGATTGACGAACTGAAAGTTAATAAATCATCAGGCCCAGAGGGTATCCATTGTAGAGTTTTTAAGGAACTCAGATATGAAATTGTTGACTTCTTTACTAAAATACTTAATATGTTTCTCAGATCAACCTTTGTACCAGTGGATTGGACAAAGTCCAATATAATACACATTTTAAAAAAGGGATTGGGGCAAGGGAGGCTGATCCAAGGAATTACAATATGGTTAGCTTAACCTTTATTTTGAATAAATTGGTTGGAAGTATTATTAAAGATAAAAAACATAAGTAGATGGAGGGTCATGCCTTGCTGATAAATAATCAATGCGGCTTCCAAAAAGGTAAGTTCTATCTTAATAGCTTTTTAGGGTTCTTTGAGAAGGTCAGTATGGACAAGGGTGATCTGGTAGACATAGTTTACTTGGACTTCCAAAAGTCTTTTAGCAAAATTCTTCACAGAGAACTCCTAAGCAAACTTAGTAGTCATGGAATAGAAGCTATATACATGGGAATCCTCTTATGGATCAGTAACTGGTTAAAGAACAGAAAGCAGAGCATGAGAATAAATGGTAATTTTCTCCAAGGGAGAGAAATAAACAGTAGGGTCACACAAGAATCTGAATTGGGACCAGTGCTTTTCAGCCTATTGATAAATGATCTGGAACTAGTAGTCAGCAGTGAAGTGGCCAATCTGCTGATGATACCAAACCAAGATGGACTGTGATTAAAACCAAGGAATGTGAGCAGCCCCATTTCTACAAGCTGGAGGATGGGCATCAGAATGACAAATGCAGTTCTGTGTAAAAATAAAGCATGTTGGGGCAAGAAATCCCAACTTTATGTATAGGCTGATGGGAACTGAGCTTGCAGAGACTGATCAAGAAAGGCATCCTGGAGTTGTAGTGGACAGCTGGATGAAAATGTCAATTCAACACACATTGGCTATGAAAAAGGCAAATTCTACATTGGGCATATTAAGGAAAGAAATGGAGAATAAAACTGCCAAGATTCCTCTTATTCAAATCTTTGGTTTGACTGCACTTGGAATATTGTGTTCAGTTCTGGTCATCTTACCTGAAAAAGGGCATTATTAAGTTAGAAAATGTACACAGAAGGGCAACAAAAATTATCAAGGGACTGGAGCAATTCCCCTATGAGGAGCAGCTACAATAACTGGGACTGTTTACCTAGAAAAAAGGTGAGTAGGAAGACATGATAGAGGTGTTTGAAAAATTGATGTGAAAAAATTGGGGAAGACATTTTTCTCCCTCTCCCATAACAGTAGAATCCTGGGTCGTCTCAGGAACCTGACTGGTGAGAGGTTTAAAACAGATAAAAGGAATTTATTCACACAATGTACAGTTAGACTATGGAATCTGCTGCCATGGGAAGTCATGATGGCCCCCAATCTGGATGGCTTTAAAAGGGATTAGACTGATTCATGAAGGAGGAGGCTATTAGTGGTTGTGTATTCCCTACTTTACCACTGGTAACATGCCTGCATACACCAGGTTCTATGGAGCTTCAGCAGGAGGAGGTCTTGCATCCATCCTAGTTGAGGAATCTTTTGGGTGGCTGGTCTGCCATGATGTGCACAGAGTCTGATCTGGTCTGATCCAGCATGGCTTTTCTTACGTTCTTAAGTGGAATACCACAGGACTCAGTCCCAGGGCCAGTGGTGCTCAACATTTTATAAGTGACTTGGATGAAGAAACTATTGAAGGGCTGGGACCATGTGTTACAATTTCTTACAGTAAAAAGCTATGCACAATTTGGAGAAAAATATGTATTTTGAAATGTATTGGCACAATGAACTGAAATAATAAACAGTATTAAAATATGATAATTCTGCAGAATAATCTCTATTGTTCCCATAATATTTAATCCAACTTTTCCTTTACAGACTTTAATACTATTTGAAGGTGGGGTTATTTCCACCTGATCATGTCAAGCTCTCCTGAACTACATGTTTCCCAATCCACAATAGCTGTTCAGAGCAAAGTTCATCCACAATAGCAAAGTATTGCATTCATATGTGTATTAGACATAATTCTAATGATTGGGTTGTATGGTGCTAGCCTTGTTTCTTTGAATGATACATTTTGGTAATCTTGTAAAACACATGTTCTCTGTGCTGGTTCAGCACTGGGAAATTCATCTTCCTCAAATAGCTGTCTTAAAATTAACCTGTAATCAACTTGTTAATAAATTGGCATGATAAATAATGACAGAACCAGGGTACAGTATGTGTATGTTCATGTGCAAAACTGAGAAGGTACTAGAGATTCCAAACTGAACATAGGCTGATAGTTATGCATGTTGTTTTACAGAGATAATAATTAAGACATGTTCATGAGTGAAACTCTTTGTGCCTCAGTGGATGCAAAATGTTTCCTTTCTTGGTGAAAACACCAAGAAATCCGTAGTTGCACTTGAAACCTATGTATGAAATAGTTCCAAGAATGGGAGTAAGCTTCACTTGCAAATTTCTGTATGGAAATATATTTTCAGTTAATGGTTGTGGATGTAAGCTAAATTACTAAATTGCTCAGCTTAGATAGGTGCAGAAGATTAGAATATCTGCATTTTCACCTTGTTTGAAGATATGTGGGCTGTGTTGTGGTCATCCTGATTTGGAACTAAAGTATACTAGCTTCTTTTGCTTTTGGTCACATGTCCTTCATAATTAAAAAGAGATTTTGTGTAGGCAGTTAAAACAGCTAAGAACAGGTTAAATATTTAGCCTGTAAAAATCATGCAGATTAATACTATATCATTTATTCTGTACATCTTGTCTTTTTCATAATTCTGTTTGCTAGATGTGGAAGAGGAGCTCTGGATAGCAAATAGGTAAGAAAGATTCCAGCTACAGAAAAAATTAGCTTCAAAAACAAAACAAAAAACCCAACAAGTTGATATTCTTTTCAAACTGTGTTCAGGTGAGATGGAGCAGACAACATGCCCTGTGGACTTCTTATGAAGAAATATAGGCACAGCTCTAAATACATGTATAGATAGAAAAATGTGCTACTGCTCTTGGGATTCCCTAGCCAGCTATGCATATGATTATGACCATTATCATTTTCTTGTTAAAGAGTTTTCTCAAAGATATTGGGGGCTATATCTGCTTGTACAACTGTCCTTTTTGTTATTGCAAGAACTGTGAATCTGTACTCACTAATCCTTGAAAAACTTGTCACTCTCTTGTTCTGCATTGTGAGATTTCAATATATTCTCTGACTAGATCGCCTAAGTGTTTTGTTTTATATCTAGTCTCTTAAAAACTGTTCTTGCATTCTTCATCATATCACCTTCCAAATACAAATCTCTAAACACAGAATAGATATATCAGTATTCTTGAGGTTATGTGCCATTTCATTTCTATTGAGGAATTTGAAATGAACCAACTCAGTTGTTCCTCATACACTGTTCAGTGGATTTCTAAGGGAACAATTATACTTAAAATGATCTAGCCATATGATAGATTTATGATGTAGGTATATGTCTTGGTGACATAAATCAATTTCTTGTTCTGGAAAAATGCTTTCTAATATCTTGGCATGATCCAGTCAAAAGAGCATCCTGAAGCCATACTAATTTAATTGGGAGTTTTAAGATTGAATTCTCCTACTGAGATTAACAGGATTTGAAGCACTTAGCCTGGCTGAATCTTGCCTTTGGTTTCAGATATAAAGAAGTGACATACCATGCTTGAGAGATTTGGAGCTGACCGTGAGTTTGTGCAGTTCATCTCTTAAGTTAACTTACTTAAGTTAGTTTCCCTTTTGGGGAAGGCCTACATTAAATAGGCAGGGTGATATGTACCAGTTTAAGTGACAGAATCGTAGATAACATTAGACTGTGGGAAATTGCCAGTTATTAGCAGTATCATTTAATAAACCACACCTGTGTGCTTGACCCTGGCCCATCATGGTTTATCACTTTTAAAAGGGAGGGGAGATCACTCTGCGTCCTAGTCATACACATCTCCTTGAGAGAGGGAGTGGTGCCAATCTCCTTTAAGGCAATAATAATTAGGCCACTTCTTAAAAAAGGTCTAACCTGGACAACAACAACAGGGGCCTAGTAGTCTATATTCTTTTCCTGGTCAAGGTATTTGAGCAGATGGGTTGCCAGTCTACTCCAAGCACTCTTGAATTAAATGAATTTTGTAGAGCTGGTGTGGTGTCATGGTTAGAACGTTGGACTTGGGTACTGGGAGAACAAGTTCTAGTCCATGCTCACCCATGAAGTGCACTCAGGTGATTGGGGCTACACACAGACTCTCAGCCCAACCTGCATCACAGGATAAAATGAAGTTATGTAAACTAATTTGGGTTTCCCACAAGAGGAAAAAGGCTGGATGTAAATGCATTGTAACAATGATAATGATTATAATTATAGATCATATTCAAGCGTGCATTTGGAAAAGAAACTTCCTTGGTCACTTTGCTGGGAGAAGGACAGTACAACCTTGTTTATTATTTTGGACCTCTCAGTGACTTTTGATACCATGGACCATGAAATCCTTCTGGATAGGCTGTCTGGGTTAAGAGTTGGAGGCACTGCATTCCAGAAGGATTACTTGGGGGTGCCTTTGAAAACAGTACTGAAACTTCGGCTGTTTCAAAACACGGCAATGAGTTTGTTAAGAGGAAATGGCCATATTAAGCCAGTACTTACTATCTCAGTTGGCTGTCAGTCCCTGTCCAGGCCTGATTCAAAGTGCTGTTATTATTTGAACTTCTAAATGACTTGGGGCCAGATTACCTGAAGGATCATCTCCTCCCATATATTCCTGCCCAGACCCTAAGATCAGCCTCAGTAGTCCTTCTAAGCAAGCCCTTGCCAATCGAAGTCAGGAGGCTAGCTACTAAGAAGTCAGCTGCTAGCTCGCCTGGCACCTTCATTGCACTCTTTCCAGCACTAGGTAGAAACCTTCCTATTTTCCCAGGAATATTAGTTCCAGTCTGTTAGTTAAATTCTGCATTGTATTTTAAATCAATAGTACTGCTCTGCCTTACTACATTTTATAGTGATGTTTTAGCCATATAAATTTCTATATTACATTTTATGTTTTTAAATTGTGTTAAATCCAGAGAGCTTTGGCTATTGTGTGCTATAAACATACAATAAAATAAACAACTACAGCGGGTACCTCAGTTCATGAACACCTCAGTTCATGACCAGATTGGGTTGCGAACAGACATTTTGGCAAAATTTTGCCTCCGTTCATGAACTCTGCATCGGGCGATGACCACGATCACGGCCAGCAATCTTCCCCACATGAACATTCCAAATAATACCTTCTCCTCACCCACCACGAGGGGGAGCCATGAGGTCGCGCTCACCTTGGTCAAGGTCTTCCTGGTTCCTCACTGCCCCCACCATTCCAAGCCAGAGGAAGGTCCCCTCACAGGTGCTCACCCGGCTCCAGGAGGGGGAGCAGGAGCAGGAGGCTGGAGAGGTGAGCACGGGGTGGCTCTCCCGGCCAGGAGAGGGCCACGAGGAGGGAGGTAAGGGCTGCTTTCTGCAAGCCATGGTGAGGGGAGGTGAGGGATGGGGCCACGGCTGGCCAAGCAGGGCGCCTCCCGCCTCTCCCTGCCACGGGGAAGAAGCATGGTGGCCGCTTGGTGGTGGTGGTTTGCTCTGAGAGTGCCATGGTGGAGGTGCAGAAGCCATGGCCCCACTCCTGCTCTGCCTTGGCCCATCCGCCCCCAGGCTTGGCGAGGCGGCTATGGCTTGGCCTGCAGCCCAGGGACGTGGCTCATATTTTTGCAGGTTTTTTAAAAAATACATATTCATTTATTTAAAACTTTTATATGTCGTCCTTTATGTATAGCATAAAGTTATGGTTCAGAAAGGATTAACCTTATTTACATTGAAACTTATGGGGAAATTTGACTTGGTTTGCGACCAGTTTGGGTCGTGACCAGAGTCGTGGAACAGATTAAGTTCATGAACCGAGATACCACTGTATTTTACCACTATGGAGTTCCTGCTGGATTTTCTCTCTTGGACACCAAAATATTTTATCCCCTCTGCCCATACCCAGCAAGCAAGCTGAGCTCTTATCCCCTCTGCCGATACTCAGCTTCTAGAAGGAACATGCAAAAATTACAATGGAGGAGATGAGAGGGACAAATGAAATGAAAATAAAGGCAGCAATTTGACTTGGTGCAGAATAATGTTGGTGCAGTATTTCATAACGTTCATTTGACACTGAAAGTTCTTCCCCTTCCCCTTCCCTGTCCCCCTTCAAGGTCAAGGTAAAGTAATACAAGAAAAGAGCTTTAGCATGAGAGGTCAAGAGATGCAGTGAAAGGATTTAAACAACTGGAACTGCTCAAGCTATGGAAAGTACCTGGTTCCCAGTGATGGCTGATGGCTTCAAACATTTCATGCCTGCCTGCCTGCCCATTTATGTATGCATGTATGTGTGTGTGTATGTATGTATGTATGTATGTATGTAATAAATATCTAGGCTGTCTTTCAGGGTAAGAGCCCTATCAGTGCACCTTCAATGATACAGGTCATACGATAAAACTGATAAAGCAATAACACAGGAGACATTCATATAACCAGCAGCACAAAACATCTGACTCAGCTGTTACTAAAAGCATACAGCATGTAATGTTAAATGTGTTACTGGTAGTAATGTCAGGGATTTTCCTTTAAAATTAATCCTTAACACAAGGGAAAGGGGGCTGTTTCATATCAGGTCTATAACACATTGGCCTTGGATCTTCTGCAAGGATCACATCCCCTCCACCCCAAATGACCCATCTCATGCTGCAAAATGGGTTGGAAAAAGAAGGGGATATTTTTCTGCTGAGATCACAGCATGCGAGGGAGACAGTTAACCACCACTTCCTGGTGTATTATAGTCCTGATTAATACATACACACATACCCCAGTTGTATTAATTTAAAAAAAACCCACTGACATCACTGTATGCCATGCATTTGATATAATGGATAGTTAGACTCTTAGTACCAGCATGACATCATGTCACTTGCTGAGTCACTCCTATACTTTTTTTTATCCTCACCAAATCTCTCAAGTATAGTAATAAATATAAATGCATTACATCATATGTAGGAAGAACATAGCCTTATTAACTGGAACTACCTTGAGGGCAGGATGCTATTGCTAGTTAACAGTGGGACACTTTTCACAGATTTTACATTGCAGGTTATAAAATATTCTTAAAATATTACTCCTGAAAATTATTTCACTTGAGGCAGAATTCATCAGAAAAAAGGTGTGCAATAAGATAGCTAATGATTTTAGGAATGATTTTTTTCTATAAATGCTCTGGGTGTCTGAAAGAGGAAAAAGGGGCACAGTATTTAAAATTTTATGACCCATTTTGTTGAAATTTCACATGGGGTATGTAATTGTGGCTGCTAATGAATACAAAGAGGGCAGAACAATTTCCTTGCAGTCTGCAGTTATATTTGCTGACGAACAATTCACTTGAAAATACTTGAAAGAAATTCAGTCATGTATTCTGCAAAGCTACTATCCAGAATAATTTTATATACATCTGCTTGTAAGTTAGTCACATTGACGCAAGTGAGCCTTACTCCTTTGTAAGTGTTTTTGAGACCGCAGCCTAAATTTTTTGACGTATTCCTATGCATGCTCTCACAAAAGTACATTTGATTTTTTATATTCAGGTAGCAGTATAGCCTTAATTACCATATGTACCAAATTATTGATAGCCTGGAAATAGTAAGTTAGCATTAGGATTGATTTAGCATTTTCAGTAGATTAGAGGGGGGAAGATACAATCAGCTCTGCCTCCCCTCCAGCAGCCTAGATAGTGTCTTTGCTTCTGCAGCAACAGGTCTCAAAGGCTATATGCCGTGAGGTTTGCAAAACCTGTTATAGGTTTTTGTGGCTGTGTGTGTGTGTGTAAATTTAACTATTATGTTCCACCATTTTTTTCTCATTCAAGGAACCCAAGACAGCTCACAGTTTATATAGTCCTCTTCTTCATACTTTCTTTGCAACAACTTTGTGAGATGAGTTAGTCTGAGGATCAGTGACTGGCCCAATGTGATCAAGTGAAATTTATGTCTAAGTGGGAACTAGAACTTAGAGCTCCTGAGACCCAGTTCAACACTTAAGCTACCACCCCACAGGCAGTGAATGCAGAGGTATACATCTGTGGATTGTGGTGCATATATACAAATGAAGATAATAAATGATCACTTTTAAAAAGAGATCAAGAAATCAAGCTGAAATTTATATGAGTAGACTTTGGCTATACCCAAGGTCATCTATTTAAAGAAAATTGCAAAGGAAAGCTTGTTCAGTATGGCATCTTTTTACTGGTGGCTCTATAATCCCATGTTAGGCTGTTTTACTAACAATTTCTGGTTTGATACATTGAAAAACAAACTATTTTTAAATCATGAGTGTTATTTAAATCTTGTATATCTGTGGGATCCAGCTCATGACTTTGAAACTTTTTGCCCTGCCGGTCCTGTGACCTCAGTCATACCTTTGCCTGTAAATAATCCTGTATGTTAATTTTCATCCTGAATGATGTTCTATGTATGGTCTTTTACCATTGCTTGTGTGTTTATGTGGGAACTATCTTTCATATTTTCTGAGGGTGTCTGTTTGGAAAAACTTAAAAATGCCTAGCCTCATTTGATCCTGAATGAACAAGTGCTTTGTGAAAAGATGGGCAACTAGACATGGAACTGTAGCAAAGTGTTCTTATGAAAAGAATGTTGGATCACCACTCTGCTGGTGGGGTTACATGAGTTGCAGAAGAATCTTCCACCTAGAAATGGTAAGAGAAAACATTTTATGTAAGGTGGCTCTTTAAAAGCATCATGCATAGTGTCTTCCACCTAGAAATGGTAAGAGAAAACATTTTATGTAAGGTGGCTCTTTATAAGCATCATGCATAGTGTGTGTGATGAGAGCTTTGGCTGTTGGGTGGTATAAAAATGAAATAAAGAAATAAATAGTTTGCCATCACATTTCTGACATTATATTTTCTATGTCTGAGTCATGGATGTCATTATACTTAAACATTCGTGTACAGCCTGAATTAAACCTCAGAGGGAAAGAAGTTAAAAGAAAACAGAAGAGTGAATAACTGCTAATGGCATGCTCTCTGGCTCCTTTCTGTCTGCTATTTCATCATCTGTAAAGGGGATAGTTGAGAGATACCTTGCTTGACATGTAAATGGCAACACATGTTTGAAATGCTGAATGGAAATTGTAATTTTTTAAAAAAAAGACTGGCATGGCACTAGGGAGATGGAGAAAAAATTGTCCTATTGTTAGCTCTGTATTTGCTATATTTAGCTTTGGAAATGGCTGTTTTGTTTTTTTGTTTTTTGCTTTTTCATTTTAAAACTGTATGCTTCAGTTGTGTAATTTTTTTTGATGGCCTTAATGTGCACAGAAGCCTTTGTCCCAAGACAAAGGAGTGTACCAAGGTGGCATTTTACAATGAAGAAAGGTGTGGGATGATTGGTACGTAGGCAATATTCCAGTATTTTTCTAATTAGAAATTTTGATTATATAAGCAAAAGGCATAATTGGAATAATACAGATAATATCTATTAAGAATATATTAATATATTGGGGAATACTCTGCTAGATGTCTTATGTACCTCAACACTATTGTATTATTATGTGATAAAGCTTAAGTATCAACACTTTTCTTTCCCTCATAAAGTGGTTGAGTTTATGGGGAATATCGTGCTGGGACAACATGGATAGAAGGTTGCCATCACGCTAATATCCTTCTTATAGGTCTCTGATGGGCAGCTGGTTGGCCACTGTATAAACCAAATGCTGGGCTATATGGACCCTTGGTCTTATCCAGCATGGCTCTTAACGTTTATATGCAGTAGGAGCTGAAGCATTGACATTCTTACTGTTCTTACTAGGGAGAAAGTGCTGGCAGTTTACTGAGTTTCAGTTACACTGAGTTTCTCTAATCAAGGGGAAAATCAAGATAAGGTGTTCACATTTAG